AGTGCGCACCCTGCCCGCGCTGCTTCCCGCGTAAATGATGAAATTTACCGCGTAATTAAAACATTTCATTCTGGCAAGGGACCGCGTAAATGACCAAACGCGTAAACAAAAGCTGCGTAAATACAGAATATACTGTATTCTTAAAATTGGTCATACATTTCATACTGCATAACAATTATGTACAATAAAAGTATAGAGTTACAAGAGAAAATGTGGAATTCGGAAGTGAACAAAGGTTTGGAGGGGTGGATATAGCCAGCAATGTATAAGAAAGCTCAACTCGATTGATGGCAGCCTTTGCACCAAGTAAACAAAACAGCAGAACTTTAGGATGATGCAGTAACTTATTAGGGATTGAGTGTGGGACTTTTTTTCATCGAGACTGTATCATCAATTATAGAATGGTAATCAATGGACAATACAGTACAGTATTGTTATGCCGAGGCATAATTTGTTATTATAATGTTTGTAAACTAGGCGTTTTGATTATTTTCTATTCTAAGCAGCAAAGCAGCAATTATATTGGCAAGTTTAGGAGATTTTCGTGTATATATTGATGTACTTAGCTATGCAAGTATTTTCTAGAATGTTCGTATGGCATCATTTTTGTTATGATTTACTTCTTATTGTAAGCCTCGATCAGAGTAGAACATTCAAGAACTTCCCAGACATGTCCAGATGGTGCCAGGATGTTCTGGGGGGCATCTGATGAGGTAAACAGTAAACCCTCAAAGATTTGGACCCGGTAAACCTGGATTTCGGAAGATTCAGACAAAAAATTTGGGAGTTCTGGTGTTAAGAAGCCTCCCTAAGAAGCATTCCCAAAACAGAGGAAAGAACATTTTAGGCCCGTGGGCGCTGGTTGACCGTCGATCGTACTGGACACAGGACATAAACAGTTGTCAATTGTTACTTGTGGGAATATTATTTTAGTCACTCTAATAATGATACAATGTTTCTTATTGTGTTATTGTTGGTAAATGCATAGTTTTATAATTTGCTTATCACTGTGCCTGTCACCGTTCTCAAATTACTGTACATAGATTAAAAGGTATGTATTTCTCCCATACCTATTTCGACCCTAAGCTTGACAACGGGACACGGGTTCGAAGGGATTAAGTGACTGCGTCTGCTAGTTAGCATGTCATCTCGTATTGTAACACATTGCTCATCCCTGCCATGATTGGTCGATGCAAAGGTTTTTCTTCTGTGAAGACAACTCTGTCCCAGAATTCCAGCAACTGTTCAGCATGTCGACGAGTGAAGGCGAGTCTATTAACAGTGTTCCTCTGTCAGTAGTTCTTTCTTGACGGGAATCCTGTGGTGGATACCCACCCTATGAAGCCACCTCCGGACAATTCTAGCGCTCATGTCCAGCCGCAGATCTTTGCAAATTGCAACAGCATTAGTGAGGGTTGTCCTCAGCTGCTCTCAAGATCCTTGCATCGTCTTCAGGAGTAGATACTCGTAGCCGGGGATGTCTCTCTCAATCAAAAAGAAAATGCTGATTAAAAGCCACTAATTTTTATACTTAGTAACTATATTTGATTGCTCGTGTAATCACCAATAACATGTCAGTCTGAGCAGTACTTACCAAGGTCGTTCAGGTTGCCATTCTCCTCCTATCTTCAAATCCACTTGATTACAGTAGCGGTTGATATTCCAAGCTCACTGGATATGGCTCGGATAGTGAGTCCAACTTCTCGTAGGCCCACAATGCAACTTCTCAAAGCTAACTGGGTGTCACGACGGTTCATCTTGAAGTCTAAGAGCTTTCTGTTGAATTCTATGATTTCTAGGGTCGCGACAATACCTCGGATGAGTTTTGATTGGTTGTCGACACTTGTTACGTGATCAACAAGCAAATTATCATTGTTTTCACTATTTTGTATAGTATTCCATTCAGGGGCAGATGCATTTATATCTTTAAACAAGTATTTTTTTTATGTCATATGCCATTATTAATTTCATTACTTGTGAAAATAAAGGATAATACAGTAAACATTGCAAGTTAATGCAACATAAATAAATAATCCTGTAACGTAATGGTATAATTTGTGCAACATTAATAGTCACTTCAGCCATAAAACACGAGGTAGTAAACATATATATTATTTACCCTGTGACTGGTAACATTAACAACTTTTAATTGTTTTGTTGTCACTTTTTCTCAATATTGTTAAGCTGATCAGCACTTACTAGTTACTGTACATATATTTCTAGGAACTTAATCTAACCTGACCTGACCTGACCTGACCTGACCTAATCTAACCTAACCTAATGTTGATAAAAATAAGGGAGTATTCAAAAGTTCAAGTTAAAATCAGTCAGTAATACCTTTTTTGTGGTCTCTTGCCCTCCCCACCCCCCAGACTAGGCAGTATAACCAATCAGATTTCTACCTTTTTGCATTACAACTCTGATCTCATTCTTTCTCATCCTCGATTCTTTTCAGGAATTCATTATCTTCTATATTTAGTTCAACGAGACTCGGTTAATTGGAGGCTTATTTGATTCCTGGGTTAGGTTAGGTTAGGTTTGGTTAGTTAAGATTCGGTTTGGTTAGGTTAGGTTAGGTTAGGTTATTTACGATTAGGTTAGGTTAGGTTACATTGGCCAACAGGAGAGGAACTTGATACGTGGGTGCCGCTGTTACCGGAGACCAATCATTACTGAAACAACACAACACTCACGCTATTGTCCACCAGCTCATTATTCTCCTAGCAATCACGTTTTACTAAGGTTAGGCTTCATTAGGGGGTTAGTACCGTATTAGAACGTATTAGTTGCTTAGTAGGGGGGGGGATCTCAGTTGATGGTGTTTGAGTTAGGTTAGTGGTGATTGGAACGATTACATCAAGAGACACAGGTTTTTGTTGTGTGAGCTGACCTGACCATCCATCACGGTTGCATATAAGATAAATTATGCTTTTGCTAAATCATAAGCTAACCTAAATTAATCTAATCTTACCTAACGTAACTTAAACTAACCTAACCTAATCTAATCGAACCTAACTTGACCTAACCTAATCTAATCTAACTAACTTGACCTAACCTAATCTAATCTAACCTAACCTTATCACCAAAGCTTCGTTATCTTGGTTTAGCTGGAATTTATTAAGACTATGGCCTCTCTGACACGTTAGCTGTTCAAAGCTAACTCATCTCACCTGGGGATTTACCTCTCAAGTTGTGGAAAGGGAAAGGATGTTAGCTTTTTTAGGTTAAGGGGAAGAATTTTAGCCTTTTTTAGGTTAAGGAGAAGGTTAGGATAGGGTAGGTTAGGTCAGGTAAGGTAAGGTCAGGTCAGGTTAGGTTAGGTTAGGTCAGGTTATGTTAGGTCAGGTCAAGTTAGGTTAGGTCAGGTTACGTTAGCTTAGGTCAAGTTAGGTCAGGTCAGGTCAAGTTAAGTTAGGCAAAATGTCACCAGCTATGTACAAGGTTAGGTTAGGTTATGCTAGGTTAGGTCAGGTCAAGTTAGGTTAGTTGAGTTTACGTTAGGTTAGGTTAGGCAAAAATCTTGCCACCAGTATATAAGGTTCTGATGTTATTCACCTTTATGGAGAGAACTGCTACAAGGAAAAAAATCAACTACACTCAGTTCAATTTACTTCTCTGCGTCAAGGTATACGTCCTGGTTCATTGGTCTCTCTCTCACTTTATCTTTCTTTTTCTTTTATATTTTTATCTGTTTTGCGATCTTCATCTTTGTCTCTTTTTTGTGTTTTTTATATTAGTCTGTCTGTCTTCTTTTTAACTGTCGATGTATGTTCATCTTATTATTATTATTATTATTATTATTATTTTTATTTTTATTATTATTATTATTATTATTATTATTATTATTATTATTATTATTATTATTATTATTATTATTATTATTATTATTATTATTATTATTTTATTTTTATTATTATTATTATTATTATTTTTATTATTATTATTATTATTATTATTATTATTATTATTATTATTTTATTATTATTATTATTATTATTATTATTTTTATTATTATTATTATTATTATAATTATTATTATTATTATTATTATTATTATTATTATTATTATTATTATTATTATTATTATTATTATTACCCTTGGCTATGTACAGTACATGGGTCTGCATACAGTGCTTCTTGTAAGATTATTGAAAGAAAACATTTACAGAGGGATGAATAATTCTCTTAATATTCTGCAGTCATACATGCATGTGCACATAAATACCTACACACACGTAGGCACATGGCGAGTACTCCGCACGTCTCTTCTTTTCTTAATCAGTTTATGACGAGCTAAATAAAATTTGCTGACCATAATATCAATAAAAGGAAACACTGTAGTACACTTTTGGATTTATTAAAAATAAAAATATTTAACTATCTTGATAATAATATTAGATAGATAGGTCTACCTGCTCAGGTAAGCTGTTATCATTGTTCGTCGACTGTACAGTAAGTTGTCTCAGATTTGTGTGTGTGTTTTTCTTAAATGTCTTAAAACTGTGATCAGTGAGACACCACAGCTGGTCTACGCTCGCTCCTACTTTACCCTAGTTCTACACTTTAGTACATAAAGACAGTACATGTTCTCTTCGCAGAGAGTGAGTGAAAAATGGCTATTCATAAGCGTCTAATAGAAAACCAAACAGTATTAATTGCGTACAGCATGTCATCACTACACCGCCAATACGGTTGATTCCAGCACATGCACATTCAATACTCATACACGTATTAGAGAGAGATGTCTCCCCCGCCAGCAGGTAAACGTATTATCGTGACATTCTCCACCCCAGCTCTTCCGGTCACAGGTCTCTTTATTATGCAACACACAAATATCTCCGTGAATTTAAATTACTGCAAATAGGAAAAAAGCATAAACAATAAATATGGATCAATAACAAAGATAGAGAGAGCCAACAAGAATTGATCTTAGTTAAAAAAATGTAAACAAATGATTATACTTTATTATTATACAGTATATGTTAGAGACAGGCGGCAGTGTGGCCCTCTCACCCACAGTGTGAAGCAGACTGTTGACAGGTGAGGTGTCCAACGTCCGTCACTTGGTGGTGAAGGTAGGTGAAGTGTCTGGAGTTCCTCACCAGCTGGTGCTAAAAGGTTATGAGAACATCAATACTTATACAAATTATACACTTATCAATTCACCGACTCGGAACGGATAGAAGTTGCTCATTTCATCTATGAAGTCGAGAAATATTCTGAAAGTTATGTGCGTAAACTTATTCCGTTAACTGGAGATTCCAGGAGATCAGAGCGCATCTAATTTTCTTATTTAGCTGCTACACAAAAGCAGATTTTGAAAGATATAATAACTAACTAGCTAACTAACTAGCATGACTATAATTTCCAATAGCATCTTTATTACACTGAATTTTCACCAGAAGTAGATTCATTCTCTGTCCGAATTAAAAGAGGTAAACTGACAAGATTATTTTTTTTTTAAATCTAGACCAAGATACTTTAGTAAGCTGACAGTACATAATTGTGTGGAATGGTTTGTGTTCTGTTAAAAGAATGACGTCAGTGGGTTACCGTTGTGTCAATATTAAATCAACGATGAAATGACATTGAGGATTTCTTTTAACTTTAAAGTGATTTGGAATGGCTGCTGAAATCTTTAATTTCTTTGTACAGCTTACAGAAACATTAGCATTTTATATAAAGTAAAAAGTGATGAGATCGTTGATCATATACATAGTCTAATCACCTGTGTGTTATAGCTTTCAGTTACCTGTTGTAATTGCTGATTATAAAGTCTGTTGAGTCAGTATAAGGTGCACTGGCACTGACAGTAACATTCATAAATGTTTATGGTTTAATTATTCAAACCCAAATGTTCTTTTTTTCCATTTGTTGAGAAAATAAACCTAATGTATGTAACCTATATTTATATTACTTTTACCGTCTGTTAGACAGGGGCAAATACCTTGATTGACCACCACCCTCCGAGTTCTATAAGGAGTAAACTAACCTTGAAGTATAAAATATAACCTATGGATGCCTATCCATGTTATAAAAGATAAAATGTGCTGTAGCTAAACTGAGGAATTTATAACCGAGGGTTGAGAGTTTGAATTCCTAGCCTTAAATTCCTTACATGGGAATGCTTTAAACAGTACAATCGCAACTTTTGAAGTGATGTATCTGTGATATTAAAACATACAAAAAAATTATAAAATAAGAATGAAAGTTGGTACAACAAAAACTGGGAATTACAGACCAGAAGAAAAATAAAATTGCAAAATATCTTCATATGAAGGGGTTTGTGTTTCATTGAGATAAGTAAATAATGTTAAATTATCAGAAACTAGATTGTGTTTGCTGGGAGCAATCTTAACATTTAAAGAATGAAGATATCAGAACTGAAGTTAAAACCAAATTAAAGTATAAAATGAAAAAAGATGAAGGGCTGGCAAGGCTATGATGGCACTACTGGTGAGTTTACAATAGTCTAAAGCCAGAAAATAAAATAATAACCTTGAACTAGGAAGAGCTTACTACCATCCTGGCGTAGTCAAATGACACTGTTGGTCAAGAAAAATATATCACACGTTATGAGGATGTGCATGGAACACCGTATTCGTGGAACCAGGTGTATAAACACATTGTGTAAGTGGTGTGCGGGCAGTCGTTTGTATGAGTGCCAGTTCACATATTCCTTCTGCAGCAGGAATAAACGTGAATGCATAGGCCGGACATACATACAAACATAAATATGACAATTTACACTGTGGCATCACCTTAGGATCATCCATTGCTAAAATAAATAAGAAGTGATCAGGCACTATTAATGCTCAGTTTGATAATTATCTAGGGTCACAAGTGTGTCATTACATGGATTGGGAGAGGTTCCATTTCTCATGCAGTGAGAACATTGGAAATTCAATAACAATAGAAGTACAGTATGTGGCAGCGTTGCTTCTAGATAAAGGGGAAAAATTACAGATTTGCGGCATGCGGTAACATTGATTCTGTGACAAATGAGAAAAGAAATACTACCTCCTGTGTTTTGAAAATTAGGGCTTAAATAAAGAGTGGGCATCCACCCATCTTAAACCTGTATTAATTAAATCAGCGATGAGCTTGTCATTGGGTATGATATAAATTGGAAAAAATCTGCAATGTGCTTGTCATTGGTAAATTATAGAAACTGGAGATAAAAAAAATTGCAATTGGGTTACAGAGCGTAGTTTTAAACGATAATCATTAAATGCAGCTTGTGCACTTGATATGCTTGCGGTTTGAGCAAATGTGTCCGGGATATCATTAACATCCCTGGTAGGAACTCTGGGTGTATCCTATTAAGTCTGGCCGCATATACTACGTCTGATGTTTGTGTTTGATTTAAAATTTTTAAACCTGCTGCTGTTTTCCTTTGCAGTAATAAGGAATGGACCTGAAAATTTGGGCGAAAGTTGGGCGATTCATTCAGGTTCTCTAACCATGAGAGCGTAACCTATTTATAATGTTATAGACTTGCCGGTGTGTGTTGTTTATAAATCATTTCAGTCGTGACGCTGCTAAATGTGTCCATACTTGACAGAGGATGTCTGTGAAGCTGCTGATTTGCTAAGTAGAGAAATAGACACTGAAGACAAGGCGAGATTTGCCTGAGAGTATGTCAGAAGGCAAAACATTTGTCTGTGCCCTAAACAACATATTATGGTGATTTACCACTAGACAAGGAGGTTCACACTTAACAGAAGTTTTATCTCAAAGTGATATTCACAACACTTCCCTGGAGAAAATTCACAATATATTTTCTCAGATTTTTTTTTTTTACGGGGAATAGCCCACCCAGGCACAGGTCATCGGCCCACATTGGAGCCTGGGTGGCGAAAAAATAAGAATAAAAATAAATTAAAAATAGAAAATGCCGGAAAACCAGCATTTTAAACAGAGACAGATTGTATGAGTGTGGAAATACAGAAGGCAGAGCATTCCACAGTTTGACTGTGTGAGGAAAGAAGGATGTACTATAACGGGTTATTCTAGTGTGACCGACATCTAAAGAGAAATGGTGGGCACCGCGGGCAAGACGTGTGTTACGAGCCCACGGCCTTGATGGTGGTACGCAGGATGCCAAATCCACAGAACATTGCCCGTTAAAGCACCTGTAAAAGAAAGAGAGTGAAGCAACATTGTTCCGAAGAGAAAGGGAAGAGAGATTGTCAACTAAAGGAGGAAAGTTAATAAGACGAAATGCCTTTGATTATATCTGTGCATATACCTGCTTCAGCAATAAAACAGAAAACGCCAAGAAGTGTTTACATCAAGCCTTGCCACTTTGCCACTTAAGAGTTCCAGAACTTAATTTTAAAAATTACTGTGATACCAAAACAGTTATCACACTACTTGAGCAAACCAATCCTCTCATGCATTGTGAATTGGATTCACGATATGACAAAAGAATCTCAAGGATTTTACGATTGGTTCTTTCGACGAAGCCATTTGTCGGTGGATGGTAGGCCTTATTTGCTGAGTGTTCACTCTGGACTGGAGGCTTAATTTGTAGAGTGTTGCTATGGAGGCCTGACTTGTAGAGTTCTCACTGGGGAGGCTTGCTTTGTTGGATGCCGTATTGCAGACATATTTGTGCAAAGTTGATTCTTAACTGTATAAATTTTATTTATTTTTTTTTATTATTTTTGTTTACGGTGTTAGCCCACCCGGGCAACAGGTCAATGATCGACATCAAGGCCTGGGGGTGAAAATGTAATAATGATAAACAACAATAATAATAATAAATAATAAATAACAATAGATAATAAAAAAATATAATAATAATAATAATAATAATAATAATAATGATAATTATAATAATAATAATAATAATAATAATAATAATAATAATAATAATAATGATAATAATAAAATAAATAATGCGAAACGATAAGTTGCCATATATGCAAAACTTTTCAATATTCCTAATTCATTCAAACAGGCTGAGGGCAGCGTATGTAAGTAGTGGCGTTCATAATTAGGGAGGAAGGTATACATTAATTACCCTATGAATTGGCTCGCATAACTATTTTTCTTGGTAAACGACTTTCAAATGATAGCACTATATAATTATATGCTGAGACTTAGCAAGTAAGCTAATAAGCACCGAGAGCAACGTCTTAAGCGATTATACTGAGCAGGGGAGGATTTCACTTAGATCTAACAACGCTGCTCATACCTGTTATGGTTAACCACTGCCAGGTGTAGATGTTGCTTTTATTTGCACACTATCCCATAACTAAATACAGTTATTTAACAGTGAATTTCAGTGAATTTTACGATTCATTAAATTTAACCTCCATAGTATCGACTGGCCATAAAAACTTTCCCAGTGTGCAATTTTGTGCACTACATCATGTAAGGGTGGCCAGGCCCGCCTGGCGAGCAGCGCCAGTCAGGGATCAGCAGTGTATAATTACTCCGAGAAGTCCGCTTTATCTGAAATTGTAAATTTGCAGTTACTCTAAGGGGGTTGAATTGCTATAACTGAGGAGAGTGATATGCTAATTTTTAAATGAACCTCTAAAAATACTCTTCGTTTTTATGCTTACTTTTCACGCCCCCCCCCCTCCTCCACACACACAGTGAGATTCAAACTCTGCCAAGCTACTAGTTATCCATCATATGCGATCATTACATAGTGGTAGAAAAATTAAGCCTTATCATTTTCCTCTAGACTAAAGTAGTTGCTAATTTTTTCGGCCAATTTACAAATTCATTGTCTAACATGTTGCTTAAGTGACCGTTCCATCAAGCTTCAAATAATCATTTAGTTTGATCATTATCACGTGCCTTGTATAATTTACTCAGGTGGAGGGTAATCATAACTCACCCATTACCTCAATATTACTACTGTTAATAGTATTAGCATTTATTTCACATTTAATATATTGTCCATCCTTCTGCCTTCTCAATAACAGCCTAGCGTCTCTCAGGCATTGAAGAGACGAGGTTCTTAATGAGCTGCGGTTGTTGACAGAACATTTACCATTGCCTTCTCATATGGGCCATCAGCTGTTGAGATGTCCTCTCTGTCTCAGTCTCCCACGTA